GGGAGAGAATTCCATGTTCGAACAAGGAAAAATATTCCGCAAGCAGCCAGAAGCACGAGCGAAGACAACAGGCACAAATCAAATGTATATATACGGCATAAAACTGTCCCTGGGAAGCGTTACAAAGTAGCATACTAAAAAATACAACGAACCAATAACGTTTAAGATTCTCGCAAGTGGGAAATACGACATGAAGGTGAAAAGAGCGCTTCTAGCGCGAAAACAAAGAAATTCAAATTTTCAAAATAAAATTACAAAAATAAGGTATTTACCAAGTGAGTTCTGAGAGTCTAACATCCCCAACACCATCATCAAAAATGTACAAGTGTTTATAAACAGTTGTCAATGCGAGATACTCAGCTTCTGTTGGCTGGATACCATCAGCAACAGCCTTGTGTGGGAGAGGAAAACCAACTCCCAGATGAATAGGTAATTAGGAAAAGATATTCGAAGTGGATAGGACACACATTACGGAAATTATCAAACTGCATCACGAAGCAAGCTCTAACTTGTAATCGTGAATAGAAACAGTGAAATATAAGGCCGAGGAACGGACTACGTCGGGAATCGGAAGCAGACATGAAAAGGACGAATAACAACTGAAAATAACTGGAAAGGATTTTTGAGTACAGAGTTGGATGTAGAATGCTGATGGGCGATCTATGCTCCTCAACGGGGGTAACAGGCGTACGTAAGTAACCTATTAAATAAATGATATACTGAGCCTCATATATATATATATATATATATATATATATATATATATATATATATATATATATTGTAGTGCTTTTTAAAGAAAAACGATTGACGATAATATTAACACATAAATACTAAGCTCATAGTATTAATTGTTTGTGAAATAGCGTTCACTTAGAAGACAATAATCATCATCCCAAAACGAAATGGAATTCAATTAAAAACCATAATGTGTTGAAACGCTTTATTCTGGTTTGATGATCTTCAAAAATGGGCATTAGTGAAATAACACATATTTGAAAAAGTTTAATCTTCGTCAACTTGATAAGTTATTCGATGATATTGAACTTATATTCCCTTCTCTTGAATTTAAACATCGAGATAAAATAAAGAAGTACTATTCCCAAACTCAATAATTAAAATCTCTACAATAATCAACATTATTTGAAAAAGAATTCAGTGTTTGACAATGTAAAGTTTAATGAATTAAAAGATCTAGTTAATAACTTAAACTGACAATAAATTGTAGATTAATTCATAAAATAACCAAATTAACTATTGACTGCATAAGAACCTTATAAAAGTATATAAATTAACTAGTATTATATGTTTAATTTGTGGTAGTGTCGAGTCGCAGTTGACTATGATCACCACTATAGATCGATTACGTGCCAATCACCAGGTAAAATCCCTCCGTAGGATAAATATTAGAAGGACAGTTGTAGATTATAGTTAAGATATGTTTGTTGGTGATCTCGTGGTATCGAAATAATACCGAGATCGTGCCAAATTTTACAGGCTAGACTACCATTCGTACGTGAGTAAGTTCAAAGTCACAAACAACGGGAAAATTGTGTTTTTGGTAAAATTAAGCAAAAAGATACAGTAAAACAATCACTGGTACAATTGGTTATAATAATAACTGTTTCCATTACACCAATCACGTTCTCTTCATAAAAGTAGATCACAACAAATTCATTCACATAACGTTTTTTTTTCGGTCAAATCCCAGAATCCACATTTTACCCAAAACATAAATATCTACTGGAATTTATTGACTAGATAAGAAGTTAGTGATTATATATATTTGAGTCCTTTTTTATTTGTTTAATGAAAACTATAAAGAATAATTGTATGTATTTCATGTACATACATTTAACATGGTGTGTAAACTTACCATACCAGTAATCTATTATATTCTCAGGAACTCAACAATAGATACTTAAAACGATCATTTGATAAACATTTAGGAATAAAGTGAAATCAATAACATTGATTGTAAGAAAAAATATGAAGAAATTTAATGATATCCAAGATAAAATTATTTTCGGAAGAGGGGTTTGTGGAGATTTTAGTAATTCAATAATTGAATTCAGGAATCCGCGATTCCGCTCACAGGATTCCAACACAGGACTACATTTGATTGACTCATGAATTCAACTGTTAAATTACTACAGTCTCCATGAAACCTCCTTCCGATAATAATCATCATCTACTCACTAGTGACTGGCTTCAAGTGGGATTTCCTGGAGTTCCAGTGAGATGACGTGACCAATGGAGTTCAACCAGGTCTGTTGTAAGATAGTGACTTATTATCGTGAATTGGTTGAAGTTATAAATGGACACAGTTGGATGCCGGCTCAGTAGTCTACAGATTAGGCATTTGCGGGTTCGTGAGTTCGAGTCCCGAATACAGGACCGTGAATGTGCACTGCTGAAAAGTCCCACAATAAGAAGAAATGGTCGTCCAGTGCATTCAGATTTTCCATGGTGGTCTAGCATCATTTAACTCATGAATTAAACTATTATATAAAAATGTTTAACAATATTATTTATGTATAATTAATAGTGTTATATGAAAGTTAATGAACTCATGATCTGAAAACATGCACAAACACCATTTGTTTAAACGAATAACAAACAACTCAATTTCTATGTCGTCAGAGGATTAAAAATCATTCAATCTTGATTACCGATTCCATTATGGTCAGTAAATTTCATTTCTCTCTATACAACATCATTCATTATCAGCTATTCAAATAAGTGTAATTAAACTCCTCCACATTATCACTATCACCATTCAATTATACTGTTAATCTTATCAGAAAATCTAATTTATTCAACTATATATAGATTAACTAATTCACATTCATTTCATTCAGTATTATGCCTGTGAAGACGGCCCACTAATGGATTTACTTATTCAGGTCATCAGCATCAAACTTATTCAATTGTGTATAATAGTCAGTATTAAAATGAATTTCAAGTGTAATTGTTAATGTATTTGTTATAACTTGTGGTTTTGTACCCTTGGTTCTTTGTTTTTCACCCTGTCGCCAATTGTTATAGCATTCGGTTTACTTCGTCTAGTGTTATAACGGTTGAGTTTCCACGTTTACACATATGGGACGTTAATTTACCTTAGACAAATATCTACACTAGATTCCCTCTCAGTGCCTATTCTACAGGACTTCAACAAAACTCAGATCAAGAACACGTGATTAACCTGACCACAAAGTAAATATATGTCCACACCAAAACCCGACACAATCCAAAAACAATCAACAATCAATGATAAGTGAGTGGGTAATAATAATAATAAGGATAGGGGAATATATAACTCATTTGACACCTGTTAGACTACCTACAAGTCTGACTAAGCAGACAACCAATCATTATCATTCTCGCCTACATATCAGTATTTTATAATGCAATGAATTTATTCAACACATTTTGGTAAAAATGAAATCGACATAGAGAAAATTTTACAACTAGAAAGTTTTTATTTTTATTATTTAACTCAGAATAACAGTAAATAATTATTTTGAAGTTGAATTCATAAGTCAATTGAAGCTATATCATCATGGAAAATCTGGAAGCACTGGACGGTCGTTTCGTCTTATTGTGGGGCTCCTTAGCAGTACGCATCCACGATTCCGTTTACGGGATTCCAACCCAGGACTACATTTATTTGACTCATGAATTCAACTATTAAATTACTACAATGTGCACAAACCCCTTTTTCATTATAACCATCACGTGCTCACTGGTGACTGACTTCAAGAGGTATTTCCTGGAGTTCTAGTGAGATGACATGACCAGTGGGGTTCGACCGGGTGTGCTGTGAGATAGTATCTCATTGAAGACAATGTTGGATGGTGGCTTAATTTCGTGGATTAGTTGAAGCTAAACATTAACACCTTTGGACGCCGGCCAGCTCAGTGGTCTAGAGGTTGATCATTTGTGCGCGAGACTGATATGTCCTGGGTTCGAATCCCCCGGAAGGGATCATGAATGTGCACTAATAAGGAGTCTCATATTAGAATGAAACGGCCGTTCAGTGCTTCTAGGTTGCCTATGCTGGTCTAGTTTTAATTGACTCACGAATTCAATTATTAAGATCTGGCAACTATCCAAAAATATATAATAACATGAAAATATGTGTGAGTGTTCCTTTTTTAAGATGGTTGTTGTAAATCATTCAATACTAAACAGATATTATCACTCTTAAATTAAACATAATCATAATATCTTAGTTGATTTATAGGAATACTTTGTAAAATCGGACATTTATTTTCCCTAAACAAAATGTTGTAAGTATAATGAACAGAATGATGGATAGATACTATTTCATGAAAATTACTGATGAATTAAGTAAATAAATGTAATACTTTTCGTGTTGAACAACAATCAGTAAATACTTATCAAGTGAAATAATGATGATATTCTCGTTGTTGTTGTTGTTGTTTTCACGTTCGGTTAAGTTTGAAAAACCAATTACATAATAAGTGAGAAACAATTTATAACTAGATCAAATGTATGCTAAATGTATATCTGTTTTTTTTAAAAATAACATCATTAATGTTAACACTTAGAATTCTAATTTAATGACTAAATTATCTTGTATTAAATTCATTTGGATTAAAATGAATATTATGATAATTTAGATTTTCAAGAAGTTATATTACATTTTACCAGAATATTCAGCCACTGCCCAGGCTAGAGTGGGTTGGAGAATGCTAGTCAGCGGCCTATGCTACGTTGGGGGTAACAGGAGTAAGTAAGTAAGTAAGTCAGGTAGTTCAGCCTACTCTATGATAATAACTCATATTGTTCAAATGTCTTGAATTTCTTGATCGTCGCAAATCGATTAACCAATTCATATCAACCTAAAATATTGATGTATTATTCACTTATTTAGAGTTATACTAGAAGATTTGTTAGTTGATACGATTTAAATGGGGCGCAATGCTGATCGAGTATTCCACTGCTAGTTATCATCAAATAAAGTACGATAACTATTAACTGATGTCAAGTAGTTTTTGGTGTTTGAAGAGACGAAGGATGTAATGATAATGATAATGATGGTGATGATGATGATGATGATGATGATGATGATGATGATGATGATGATGATGATGATGATGATGATGATGATGATGATGATGATGATGATGATGATGATGATGATGATGATGATGATGATGATGATGATGATGATGATGATGATGATGATGATGATGATGATGATGATGATGATGATGATGATGATGATGATGATGATGATGATGATGATGATGATGATGATGATGATGATGATGATGATGATGATGATGATGATGATGATGATGATGATGATGATGATGATGATGATGATGATGATGATGATGATGATGATGATGATGATGATGATGATGATGATGATGATGATGATGATGATGATGATGATGATGATGATGATGATGATGATGATGATGATGATGATGATGATGATGATGATGATGATGATGATGATGATGATGATGATGATGATGATGATGATGATGATGATGATGATGATGATGATGATGATGATGATGATGATGATGATGATGATGATGATGATGATGATGATGATGATGATGATGATGATGATGATGATGATGATGATGATGATGATGATGATGATGATGATGATGATGATGATGATGATGATGATGATGATGATGATGATGATGATGATGATGATGATGATGATGATGATGATGATGATGATGATGATGATGATGATGATGATGATGATGATGATGATGATGATGATGATGATGATGATGATGATGATGATGATGATGATGATGATGATGATGATGATGATGATGATGATGATGATGATGATGATGATGATGATGATGATGATGATGATGATGATGATGATGATGATGATGATGATGATGATGATGATGATGATGATGATGATGATGATGATGATGATGATGATGATGATGATGATGATGATGATGATGATGATGATGATGATGATGATGATGATGATGATGATGATGATGATGATGATGATGATGATGATGATGATGATGATGATGATGATGATGATGATGATGATGATGATGATGATGATGATGATGATGATGATGATGATGATGATGATGATGATGATGATGATGATGATGATGATGATGATGATGATGATGATGATGATGATGATGATGATGATGATGATGATGATGATGATGATGATGATGATGATGATGATGATGATGATGATGATGATGATGATGATGATGATGATGATGATGATGATGATGATGATGATGATGATGATGATGATGATGATGATGATGATGATGATGATGATGATGATGATGATGATGATGATGATGATGATGATGATGATGATGATGATGATGATGATGATGATGATGATGATGATGATGATGATGATGATGATGATGATGATGATGATGATGATGATGATGATGATGATGATGATGATGATGATGATGATGATGATGATGATGATGATGATGATGATGATGATGATGATGATGATGATGATGATGATGATGATGATGATGATGATGATGATGATGATGATGATGATGATGATGATGATGATGATGATGATGATGATGATGATGATGATGATGATGATGATGATGATGATGATGATGATGATGATGATGATGATGATGATGATGATGATGATGATGATGATGATGATGATGATGATGATGATGATGATGATGATGATGATGATGATGATGATGATGATGATGATGATGATGATGATGATGATGATGATGATGATGATGATGATGATGATGATGATGATGATGATGATGATGATGATGATGATGATGATGATGATGATGATGATGATGATGATGATGATGATGATGATGATGATGATGATGATGATGATGATGATGATGATGATGATGATGATGATGATGATGATGATGATGATGATGATGATGATGATGATGATGATGATGATGATGATGATGATGATGATGATGATGATGATGATGATGATGATGATGATGATGATGATGATGATGATGATGATGATGATGATGATGATGATGATGATGATGATGATGATGATGATGATGATGATGATGATGATGATGATGATGATGATGATGATGATGATGATGATGATGATGATGATGATGATGATGATGATGATGATGATGATGATGATGATGATGATGATGATGATGATGATGATGATGATGATGATGATGATGATGATGATGATGATGATGATGATGATGATGATGATGATGATGATGATGATGATGATGATGATGATGATGATGATGATGATGATGATGATGATGATGATGATGATGATGATGATGATGATGATGATGATGATGATGATGATGATGATGATGATGATGATGATGATGATGATGATGATGATGATGATGATGATGATGATGATGATGATGATGATGATGATGATGATGATGATGATGATGATGATGATGATGATGATGATGATGATGATGATGATGATGATGATGATGATGATGATGATGATGATGATGATGATGATGATGATGATGATGATGATGATGATGATGATGATGATGATGATGATGATGATGATGATGATGATGATGATGATGATGATGATGATGATGATGATGATGATGATGATGATGATGATGATGATGATGATGATGATGATGATGATGATGATGATGATGATGATGATGATGATGATGATGATGATGATGATGATGATGATGATGATGATGATGATGATGATGATGATGATGATGATGATGATGATGATGATGATGATGATGATGATGATGATGATGATGATGATGATGATGATGATGATGATGATGATGATGATGATGATGATGATGATGATGATGATGATGATGATGATGATGATGATGATGATGATGATGATGATGATGATGATGATGATGATGATGATGATGATGATGATGATGATGATGATGATGATGATGATGATGATGATGATGATGATGATGATGATGATGATGATGATGATGATGATGATGATGATGATGATGATGATGATGATGATGATGATGATGATGATGATGATGATGATGATGATGATGATGATGATGATGATGATGATGATGATGATGATGATGATGATGATGATGATGATGATGATGATGATGATGATGATGATGATGATGATGATGATGATGATGATGATGATGATGATGATGATGATGATGATGATGATGATGATGATGATGATGATGATGATGATGATGATGATGATGATGATGATGATGATGATGATGATGATGATGATGATGATGATGATGATGATGATGATGATGATGATGATGATGATGATGATGATGATGATGATGATGATGATGATGATGATGATGATGATGATGATGATGATGATGATGATGATGATGATGATGATGATGATGATGATGATGATGATGATGATGATGATGATGATGATGATGATGATGATGATGATGATGATGATGATGATGATGATGATGATGATGATGATGATGATGATGATGATGATGATGATGATGATGATGATGATGATGATGATGATGATGATGATGATGATGATGATGATGATGATGATGATGATGATGATGATGATGATGATGATGATGATGATGATGATGATGATGATGATGATGATGATGATGATGATGATGATGATGATGATGATGATGATGATGATGATGATGATGATGATGATGATGATGATGATGATGATGATGATGATGATGATGATGATGATGATGATGATGATGATGATGATGATGATGATGATGATGATGATGATGATGATGATGATGATGATGATGATGATGATGATGATGATGATGATGATGATGATGATGATGATGATGATGATGATGATGATGATGATGATGATGATGATGATGATGATGATGATGATGATGATGATGATGATGATGATGATGATGATGATGATGATGATGATGATGATGATGATGATGATGATGATGATGATGATGATGATGATGATGATGATGATGATGATGATGATGATGATGATGATGATGATGATGATGATGATGATGATGATGATGATGATGATGATGATGATGATGATGATGATGATGATGATGATGATGATGATGATGATGATGATGATGATGATGATGATGATGATGATGATGATGATGATGATGATGATGATGATGATGATGATGATGATGATGATGATGATGATGATGATGATGATGATGATGATGATGATGATGATGATGATGATGATGATGATGATGATGATGATGATGATGATGATGATGATGATGATGATGATGATGATGATGATGATGATGATGATGATGATGATGATGATGATGATGATGATGATGATGATGATGATGATGATGATGATGATGATGATGATGATGATGATGATGATGATGATGATGATGATGATGATGATGATGATGATGATGATGATGATGATGATGATGATGATGATGATGATGATGATGATGATGATGATGATGATGATGATGATGATGATGATGATGATGATGATGATGATGATGATGATGATGATGATGATGATGATGATGATGATGATGATGATGATGATGATGATGATGATGATGATGATGATGATGATGATGATGATGATGATGATGATGATGATGATGATGATGATGATGATGATGATGATGATGATGATGATGATGATGATGATGATGATGATGATGATGATGATGATGATGATGATGATGATGATGATGATGATGATGATGATGATGATGATGATGATGATGATGATGATGATGATGATGATGATGATGATGATGATGATGATGATGATGATGATGATGATGATGATGATGATGATGATGATGATGATGATGATGATGATGATGATGATGATGATGATGATGATGATGATGATGATGATGATGATGATGATGATGATGATGATGATGATGATGATGATGATGATGATGATGATGATGATGATGATGATGATGATGATGATGATGATGATGATGATGATGATGATGATGATGATGATGATGATGATGATGATGATGATGATGATGATGATGATGATGATGATGATGATGATGATGATGATGATGATGATGATGATGATGATGATGATGATGATGATGATGATGATGATGATGATGATGATGATGATGATGATGATGATGATGATGATGATGATGATGATGATGATGATGATGATGATGATGATGATGATGATGATGATGATGATGATGATGATGATGATGATGATGATGATGATGATGATGATGATGATGATGATGATGATGATGATGATGATGATGATGATGATGATGATGATGATGATGATGATGATGATGATGATGATGATGATGATGATGATGATGATGATGATGATGATGATGATGATGATGATGATGATGATGATGATGATGATGATGATGATGATGATGATGATGATGATGATGATGATGATGATGATGATGATGATGATGATGATGATGATGATGATGATGATGATGATGATGATGATGATGATGATGATGATGATGATGATGATGATGATGATGATGATGATGATGATGATGATGATGATGATGATGATGATGATGATGATGATGATGATGATGATGATGATGATGATGATGATGATGATGATGATGATGATGATGATGATGATGATGATGATGATGATGATGATGATGATGATGATGATGATGATGATGATGATGATGATGATGATGATGATGATGATGATGATGATGATGATGATGATGATGATGATGATGATGATGATGATGATGATGATGATGATGATGATGATGATGATGATGATGATGATGATGATGATGATGATGATGATGATGATGATGATGATGATGATGATGATGATGATGATGATGATGATGATGATGATGATGATGATGATGATGATGATGATGATGATGATGATGATGATGATGATGATGATGATGATGATGATGATGATGATGATGATGATGATGATGATGATGATGATGATGATGATGATGATGATGATGATGATGATGATGATGATGATGATGATGATGATGATGATGATGATGATGATGATGATGATGATGATGATGATGATGATGATGATGATGATGATGATGATGATGATGATGATGATGATGATGATGATGATGATGATGATGATGATGATGATGATGATGATGATGATGATGATGATGATGATGATGATGATGATGATGATGATGATGATGATGATGATGATGATGATGATGATGATGATGATGATGATGATGATGATGATGATGATGATGATGATGATGATGATGATGATGATGATGATGATGATGATGATGATGATGATGATGATGATGATGATGATGATGATGATGATGATGATGATGATGATGATGATGATGATGATGATGATGATGATGATGATGATGATGATGATGATGATGATGATGATGATGATGATGATGATGATGATGATGATGATGATGATGATGATGATGATGATGATGATGATGATGATGATGATGATGATGATGATGATGATGATGATGATGATGATGAAGATGATGATGATGATGATGATGATGATGATGATGATGATGATGATGATGATGATGATGATGATGATGATGATGATGATGATGATGATGATGATGATGATGATGATGATGATGATGATGATGATGATGATGATGATGATGATGATGATGATGATGATGATGATGATGATGATGATGATGATGATGATGATGATGAGATGATGATGATGATGATGATGATGATGATGATGATGATGATGATGATGATGATGATGATGATGATGATGATGATGATGATGATGATGATGATGATGATGATGATGATGATGATGATGATGATGATGATGATGATGATGATGATGATGATGATGATGATGATGATGATGATGATGATGATGATGATGATGATGATGATGATGATGATGATGATGATGATGATGATGATGATGATGATGATGATGATGATGATGATGATGATGATGATGATGATGATGATGATGATGATGATGATGATGATGATGATGATGATGATGATGATGATGATGATGATGATGATGATGATGATGATGATGATGATGATGATGATGATGATGATGATGATGATGATGATGATGATGATGATGATGATGATGATGATGATGATGATGATGATGATGATGATGATGATGATGATGATGATGATGATGATGATGATGATGATGATGATGATGATGATGATGATGATGATGATGATGATGATGATGATGATGATGATGATGATGATGATGATGATGATGATGATGATGATGATGATGATGATGATGATGATGATGATGATGATGATGATGATGATGATGATGATGATGATGATGATGATGATGATGATGATGATGATGATGATGATGATGATGATGATGATGATGATGATGATGATGATGATGATGATGATGATGATGATGATGATGATGATGATGATGATGATGATGATGATGATGATGATGATGATGATGATGATGATGATGATGATGATGATGATGATGATGATGATGATGATGATGATGATGATGATGATGATGATGATGATGATGATGATGATGATGATGATGATGATGATGATGATGATGATGATGATGATGATGATGATGATGATGATGATGATGATGATGATGATGATGATGATGATGATGATGATGATGATGATGATGATGATGATGATGATGATGATGATGATGATGATGATGATGATGATGATGATGATGATGATGATGATGATGATGATGATGATGATGATGATGATGATGATGATGATGATGATGATGATGATGATGATGATGATGATGATGATGATGATGATGATGATGATGATGATGATGATGATGATGATGATGATGATGATGATGATGATGATGATGATGATGATGATGATGATGATGATGATGATGATGATGATGATGATGATGATGATGATGATGATGATGATGATGATGATGATGATGATGATGATGATGATGATGATGATGATGATGATGATGATGATGATGATGATGATGATGATGATGATGATGATGATGATGATGATGATGATGATGATGATGATGATGATGATGATGATGATGATGATGATGATGATGATGATGATGATGATGATGATGATGATGATGATGATGATGATGATGATGATGATGATGATGATGATGATGATGATGATGATGATGATGATGATGATGATGATGATGATGATGATGATGATGATGATGATGATGATGATGATGATGATGATGATGATGATGATGATGATGATGATGATGATGATGATGATGATGATGATGATGATGATGATGATGATGATGATGATGATGATGATGATGATGATGATGATGATGATGATGATGATGATGATGATGATGATGATGATGATGATGATGATGATGATGATGATGATGATGATGATGATGATGATGATGATGATGATGATGATGATGATGATGATGATGATGATGATGATGATGATGATGATGATGATGATGATGATGATGATGATGATGATGATGATGATGATGATGATGATGATGATGATGATGATGATGATGATGATGATGATGATGATGATGATGATGATGATGATGATGATGATGATGATGATGATGATGATGATGATGATGATGATGATGATGATGATGATGATGATGATGATGATGATGATGATGATGATGATGATGATGATGATGATGATGATGATGATGATGATGATGATGATGATGATGATGATGATGATGATGATGATGATGATGATGATCTGAAGATTAGCCAATTGACATCTAAGATTTCACTACAAATCAGACTGCTATTTTTTTGCTTCATTTCTAAAAGTTGATGATGGTATGATACTTAGGTTAGTAATATATAATTGTTCATAACTTAATGGAATAGACCTACAATAAATAATCATTATAATAGTAATGCCATCATTGCATGGTTGAAGTTTTTAACTATAATGATTTAATCAATTAATATTATTCATAAAATCTAATATTGTTTAGTTGTATATTCACGTTTCTATAGAACTCCACTACAATTTCAATCAGGAACCTCTTCTATCAAACTGCGAAAAATGTCACTTTCAACTAAACTAATGTTGTTACTTCTATAGAAGACTAACATTTTTCAAAAGTATTCTACAATTTCCACACGTCCATTCCAACATTTTTCTAACTTCGAATTAGACATATTTTAAATTCCAATGTTTTGTTCCCATACGATCAAATACATTTTTGAAATGTATTCTAATAACAAAGTCTAATGAGATTAAGATATTTGTACATCGATAAGAATAAAGTCTTTCATTTGATAATCAATCTCTCGACATGATAAACTGTAAGACAAGATCTATTTTCCTAATCATTTAGCAATCTAAGAATATATTTTTTGAATAATCATTGACTTATAGTCTATTTGTAAAATGAGTGTAATCGTGAATGAAATGATGCTTTTACTCATCGTCGAGGAGCATAAATCGCCCAAAAGCATTCTACGTCCAACCCTGTTCTGGGCAATCCTTTCCAGTTGTTATTCATCCTTTTCATGTCTGCTTCCGGTCCTCGATGCATTGTATTCATCGGTATTCTTCTTCTCTGTTTCCATTTAGCATTCCAAATAAGCGCTTGCCTCGTGATGCAGTTTAGAGATTTCCATAATACATGTCCGATCCGTTTCCAGTCTCTTATCTTAATTTCCTCTTCAGTTGGAAGTTGGTTTGTTCTCCTACACAGTGGGTTGTTACTGGTGATATCTAGTAAATGGATATTGAATATATTGCATAGACAATTGTTTATAAATACTTGTACATTTTTGATGATGGTTGTATTAATTTTCCAAGTTTCAGTTCCGTACAGTAGAACTGTATTGACTTTGATATTGGTTGACAGATAGTTGTTTTGAGTTCTATATGTTCTTCAATTGTAGAAATGCTGTTCTTGCTTTTCATTCCTTGCCTTTACATCTGCATCGGATCCTCCTTGTTCATCGACGATACTTTCTAGTTATATAGAGTTTTCCACCTCTTCCAAAATTTCTCCATCAACTGTGATTGTGTCAGTGTTCTCCGTATTGTATTTGAGGATCTTGTTTTTTCCTTTGTGTATGTTGAGGCCTACTGATGTATAGGCTGCTGCTGCTACACTAGTTGTCTTCGTCTGCAATAGTAGATAGAAAAATTGGATTATAATGAATTGCTTAGAAACTATTGATCAGATTTAATAAAATTGTATTTCTACATGATTTAAGTGTATCTAAGAAAACTGATGAAACTTATCAGAATACTTTAAAGTTATTCATTATCTCAAACAGAATTTTTAATTTACATCTTTATTGATTTATCCAATATTTATAAAATTATGTTAAATAGAAGTGACTTTTAATAAATTAATTGGTCATCATCATTGATAATAGAAGTAACATTGATGTGGTAATAAATAAGAAAATTATCTGAATAATAATGAGAAGTAATATTTGAGGAGGGGGGTTGCTTTTGGCTTTCACAAAATTGAAATGATCACCGTTTAATTAAAAACTATTCTCTGTGTCAATTCCATATTCATCAAAGTGTTTTCAATACATTCATTCAATAATAAAATACATCAACAATTACAATTCAAATTCATTTTTATATAGGCGTCCTGTTTGAATATATGGGCTACCTGTTGCCTGCCATTTAGATATTTTAACAAGTTATCTAACTATTGTTTGCTTCAATAGATCATTATGTCAATTAATTGCACAATCTATTCAGATACGTTTGTGAAATGTTCAAAACCTTTCACTGTACAAGTTAAGAAAGAGCATAATCAGAGATATTATGGTTGCTGGGATTACACATCGAAAAGAATATACATTATTTAGATGTGGATTCCTGAACTGCTAACATCTAAGTGGCGACCACTCAGATATTTATCGTCAGTATCGATCAAGAAATAAGAAATGGGAACTTGTCGAAGTACTATGTACTGAGAATTCAATATTGTACCAAAAATCTAATATTGAATAATAATAATAATATTAATAATAATTTTAATTCTGACTATTGTACACAATTAAATAAAGTTGATGCTGATGACCTGAATATTTTAATCCACTGATAATGATTAAGTGGTTTAACATTGAACGAAATGAATGTGAATTAGTTAATCTATATATAGTTGAATAAATTAGATTATCTGATAAGATTAACAGTATAATTGAATGGTGATAGTGATAATGTGGAGGAGTTTTTAATTACACTAATTTGAATAGTTGATAATGAATGATGTTTTATAGAGAGAAATGAAATTTACTGACCATAATGGAATCGGTAATCAAGATTGAATGATTTTTAATCCTCTGACGACATAGAAATTGAGTTGTTTGTTACCCGTTTAAACAAATGGTGTTTGTGCATGTTTTCAGATCATTTGTTAACCAGAAGAAGAAAAAAAACATTAAAAATATTGGTATCTAAGGTTCATTTAAAGGTAATGCAAGAAAACATTAAAATTATTAATTAGCTCAATTATTTTATATTTATGGGATAAATGAATATTTAAACCAGTTCTTATAAATATACACAGTTGTAATAAAATATCATGTTCTTAAATATAATTTATGTGAATTGTGAGAGTGAGATGAAACTTTCAGAACTACTACGACCATCGTCAAAAGTGTACAAGTATTTATAAACAATTGTCTATGCAAGATATTCAATATCCATTTACTAGATATCATCAGTAACAACCCACTGTGTAGGAGAACAAACCAACTTCCAACTGAAGAGGAAATTAAGATAAGAGACTGGAAACGGATCGGACATGTATTATGGAAATCTCTAAACTGTATCACGAGGCAAGCGCTTATTTGGAATGCTAAATGGAAACAGAGAAGAAGAATACCGATGAATACACTGCATCGAGGATCGGAAGCAGACATGAATAGAGTGAATAATAATTGGAAGTAATTGGAAAGGGATTTTTGAGGACAGTTTTAGACGAGGAATGCTGGTGGGCAGCCTATGTTCCTCGACGAGGGTTAACTGAACTAAGTGAGTAAGTAATCTATGAATGTTTTTTTAGTTAAATTCTGTAGAAAAGTATTGTAGAAACATTTGTTCATTGTAATACTTATGATAATATGAGTTACTTTGGTTGTAATACTGGAATATTCATTGATGTCCATGCTAAGATTCTTTAAAATAATCTTGATTACTAAATAATATCCTTTCTTCGTTGATTTCTAATCGTTCATTGTAAATTTGTTTACATTATTATCTAATATAAGGATTGGTTTCTTTTTTTTTAGGATGAACATACTGTTAATGTATACAGTCCCTTTTTTCACTCAACACTCAATTACTTCCATTCACTTAGAATGCTAATTTTGCTGCAAATAATGATCCCATTGTAAACAATTTCAATAAAAGGTATCTATTTGATAAGTTTATTAGTGTAGTTTGATTGTTTGTTTGTTTGTTTTTCTAAAGATTTACACTGTATAACACTCTTCATTACTATGCTTTATATCCTTTCAAATTAAACTACTAAGTTAATGTATTGTTTTTACTGTGTCACGTTTCTCTGTTGTATTTAATTGTGTCAATTAACTTATACATATATTCTTAATAGAGATTATATTTTATAAAGTATATACATAACTATGCTGGTTTTCAATTGAATCGCTGAATATGTGTGATATGTACTAATGAAGTCAATATATATAGGTAGCATTCATCATCAATCGGAAGTACAACTGTGGTGCGTGCTACTTTTATTGATATAAGTAATATATGACGCGAGTCAGGAATGTAATGTCTGGCAGCAGAAGATGTGGAAGATCAAGAAAGGAAGAACGGGAATAGAAAGCAATTAGTATAGAAATGCAAGAACAATCAAATCCGAGACAATTATTGAACATTTTGCAAATTATGTATTATAGTATGGTTTTTCTATTTTACGAAGTAACTCTGTAATTTCATGCTAGATATAATTCGGTTGGCCGTACCTGTGTTCTCCTTCACTATACAATGTCTGGCGGTAAAAGATTAAGAAGACCAAACGAAAAAGAACGAGAACAACAAATGTTTGCTGTTGAAATGAAAGAACAATGAAGTTTAAGACAATTGATTGACATTTTACAAATTAAGTACTTATTGTATGGTTCTCAGATATTGTTAAAACATTCTGTAATACATTCGATTGTCTCCATTTGTGTTCTCATTCACAACAATATACTTAAACTTCACAACTTAGATGACTTGATCACTGCATAATAATTAGCAATCGTAATGTTATTCAATTACAGTTGTTGTTGTTTTTTGGCTATCTGAATACAAACCTTAATTTTTACATAATGAATAAGAGCTTAAGCCAAATTAAGTGTTCTGTACTTCAAGTCAACTGAATCATTGTAGTACATTTAATACTTTCCATAACTAATTAGTATGTAAATTAATATTTTGATTAAAATGCAAAGATTATTTTATATTTGTATATACCTTATTGATCTAGTCAAATAACTTTAATGCATATTTGATCGTATGTAATTGTTTATCTTTATTATTTACGCGTAATACCGATTATTTGATAAGAGTATCCAGCAATAATGATCCGAGAATGATGTCTGTGTATTTGTGTGTGCGTGTGTGTGTGTACGTGTGTGCATTTATGTCCAATTTCTTAAATTAATAAATGAACACTTAACCAATAGAATAGAAGTTTCATTTACACTGTTTACAGATATTACTTAAAACAGGGGCATAAGTCAGTATCACATATCAGTAAATTCTTTTATCTTTTATCATTATTATCTAAATTATAAAGTGGATAAAAAGTAATGAC